AATGACAACACAAACTTATAAACATTGAGTTTTGTTAACATAAAAAGATGTGGTTGTCTACTTATTTTTTTAAGTTCTGTGGTTTGAAAACTGGAACCTTTAAGTAATAGTAACTGATAATAATTGAGTTGCCTTAACAGAAAACTGTAAGTCAAATTAACTGCAAATATTTGAGCACTTCATTTAAATTAACTGTTATCAAAAGGTACAAGTAATCCAAACTTTTATGTTCTGGAAAAATTTGACTTTTAAGTTGATCAGCTTAAAAAAATTGAGGCAACGAGATGAATCTCTTCTTCAATAGGTTCAGCTCACAGTCTTCAACACAACCCCCTTCTGCCTTCGTGGACACTCTCTCACCTCCTGAGTACGCTTCCTCTCTCCCCTCCACCCCTCCTCCTCCCTCCCCTCTCTCTCTCAGTAACAACCTACCAGGTCAGAGGACAGCTGGGGAGACTACATCCGAACAAGGCTGCTGGCCTGGACGGTCTCAGCCCAAGGCTCCTGAGGGCCTGTGCCACCCAGCTGTCTGTTATCCTGCAACACCTCTTCAACCTGAGTCTACAACAGGGGATGGTCCAAGCGCTGTGGAAGACATCATGCCTGGTTCCTGTCCCCAAGAGGAAGTCACCATCTGGACCAGAGGACTACCGCCCGGTGGCCCTGACGTCCCACGTGATGAAGGTGCTGGAGCGGCTGGTATTGGCTCACGTTACACCACAGGGGAAATCCCTACTGGACCCACTTCAGTTTGCATATCAGCCTAATGTGGGGGTGGATGACGCCATCATTTACCTGCTGCAACGAGCTCAGTCGCACCTGGATGAGGCTGGCTGTACTGTAAGAATCACTTTCTTTGATTTCTCCAGTGCATTCAACACCATTCAGCCACTGTTGCTGGGTGAGAAGCTGCAGGTGATGGGGGTAGACATGCCCACCATCTCCTGGATTATTGACTACCTGACAGGCAGACCACAGTTTGTGCAGCTGGGTTGTGGTCTGTCTGATGTGGTGGTCAGTGATGTAGGAGCCCCGCAGGGGACTGTGCTGTCCCCCTTCCTGTTCACCTTATACACCTCAGATTTTCAGCATGACTCTGGGTCATGCCACCTGCAGAAGTTCTCTGATGACTTTGCGGTGGTTGGGTGTATAAGGGATGGACGGGAGGAGGAGTACAGAGCAGTGGTGGCGGACTTTGTGGAGTGGGACAGTGAGAGTCACCTGCGTCTGAATGTGGCGAAGACCAAGGAGATGGTGATAGACTTCAGGCGGAAGACGACAGCTCCACGACCGCTGATTGTGTTGGGGGAGGAGACGGAGATGGTTGTGGAATACAAATACCTGGGTGTGACCATCAACAATAGACTGGACTGGAAGTCGAACACTACTGCTGTGTATAAGAAGGGGGTGAGCAGGCTCTTCTTCCTGAGGAGGCTACAATCCTTTAATGTATGCAGCAAGATGTTGGAGATGTTCTACCAGTCCGTTGTGGCCAGCGCACTGTTCTTTGCCGTTGTGTGCTGGGGGAGCAGCATTGGAGCCGGGGAAACGAAAAGATTTAATAAACTAATTAAGAAGGCTGGCTCCATCATCGACTGCAAACTGGACAACATGGAAACTGTGGTGGAGAGGAGGATGCTGAACAAACTGCTATCCATCATGGATAACCCCGACCACCTTCTCCACCAAATCCTCCAGGCTCAGAGGAGCACATTCTCAGACTCAGACAACTCCGCTGCCACAAGGACAGATTCAGGAAGTCATTCCTGCCATCCGCCATCAGGTTCTATAATAACTCCTTGTAGCAATTGTAACATCTGAAGGTTTAACTTAACTACATAAGTCTCGTAGTCCCATCTGCATTGTAAATTAAATTTATTCGCTGCTATTTATAATGACTGGTATTCAATATCAGTAAATGTTATTCTTGTAGATTGTATATAGTAGCTAGTCTCTTTTGCACATCACTGTATCACTTACTACCTGCACTGTTTTTATCACTTTATCGCTGTACCTCTTCGCTTGCACTGTTTTATGTTTTTATGTTCTTATGCTCCTTGATTATTGGAACATTCCATTAGTCTCCTCTGTTTTTAACTTAAATTTTTAACTTTGCCTCAATTTAGCTCTGTCTGAACAACTCAGTCACGATATCCTACATATATCTGTACTTATTGCACGCCTATACAGCTGGAACAAAAGAATTTCCCATCGGGGATGAATAAAGTATGTCTATCTATCTATCTATCTATCAGGCCAGATGAGGAGCAAATTGCCACCTGCAGCAGGAAGTTAGGGGGTCAAATATGAAGTCTCCCAAACCCAGGAGGAGAATGACCAGGAGCTGCAGGAGTACGAAGCTCTACACACACCACTTCAAGCTGATCAGCAGCAAAGGGGGGAAACAGGGAACAGTCAGTTAAGTGTGATCTCACCTGCTCTGAAGCCCCTGAACACAAGTCCTAGACCAGGAAAAATTTTAATCACCGGAGCAACTGGCGAAATTCAGCTGCAATCAGAACAGCATGTATCTCAGGCAAGAGAGGAAGTCTTGCGACAAAGTGTTCAAGGTGCTCCACCGACTGCCACTCTGGAAAACTCAGGGCCTATGATTAGGAACTTGGTAACCCCTAGTAGTGCAGTGACTTTTGACCTCCTATCAGGTGACTCCAACAGCCCGTCCAGTGGACATAAATGATCCACTCCAAGGGGGTGTATCCCATCTAACCCTGGTTCACTCTGCTTTGGTCTCTGATGGCAGAAGAACTTGCCAATAATGCTTATTATTATATGAAACACCATCAAATCTTGGACGGACTCCACATCCAGTGCAAGGGGGGAGGCAGTGTCCTGTTCAATACTGTAGGGGCTATGGAACCCTCCGGACTTGGACGATTCTGATGGCCCAGGTCCTTGATGAGGATATGGGATCCACACCCATCAGCTTGAGTCCCTTGCAAGGGACATAGAACATTTTGACCCAGGTGGCCTAGAATGTAACATAGATGACAACCTTCATGAGGTTGAATGTTTTATCCTTGACATGCCGCACATCATCTCAACCCCAACAGACACAATGTGGAGATTGAGATCATGGGATCTCACGATTGACCACACCCTCCAACAACTGTTCATAGCTGAGTGTCAAACCAACTGGATTTACCACCAAATTTGATTAGTTCATTAACCGGTCACCATCTTACATGGAACATCTCTTTAGCATTGTTGCCCTTGGGCTGCTCCTTAGTGGTTGGATCATCATGGCAGTTACGGCTCACATAATGTACAAGTACATTCAGCAACTCCAGGCCAAATTAGACTCATTCCACCAAGGTTCACACAACAGCCTGCCTACAGTCACGTCAGCAGATTTAACTTTTCCTCAAGCTTCAAATTCAACCTTTCCTTTTGTTCTTCTTTCCCTTTTCCTTTTTTTCACATTTCTCAGCAATTATTTGGTAATTTAAGGTACATTATATATAATCATCGTAATATGGTTACCATGAAACGAAAGGAAGGAGTTTCCTCAATGTTAATACGCCAAAAATAGAAAACATAATGATTGTTGAGTCCGAAGTCTTTTGAGCAGGAGTCCAAGTCAAGTCTGAAGTCTCTGTGTGTGCTACTTAAGTGCGACTCGGACTCGAGACGCAAACTCGAGTCCCCATCTCTGGTACACAGTATGAGGAAAGTAAGGCTGTTTTGAAGATTTGTTGCTTTTTGAACATTAAAGGTACATTGTGTAGAATTTTATGATATCTAGTGTTGAAATTACATGTTGCAGCTGAATACCCCTCACCCTCTCCTTCCAAACATGAAAAAGAACCTGTGGTAGCCTTCAGTTGTCATAAAAACTCAAAAGGTGTCTAGTTTGTTCAGTCTGGACTAATGTAAGAAACATGGCAGCCTCTGTAGAGAGGACCCCCTCAATGTAAATATAAAGGGCCTTTTCTGGGGTGAAGAAAACTACAATTCATACAATTTAGATGAAATTAACTAGTGAAAACATCAAGAGGATTATTCTACATAAAATTTCTGCCAATAGCTCCCTTTCACCTAAATCTTACACACTTAACCTTTAAAGCATGTTATCTGACAATCAGCATAATAGGTCCTGTTAAACAAATATTGATTAAATACTGGGATATTGCTACTTCTACATATAGTTATCTGTCTCTGGGTGCACATCAAAATCCAAAGATTTTTAGATGTTTCACATTGTGGCTTTAAACCTACTTGCATGCTTTTTTCAAGAGCTTGTTTTATGTCCCAAGGGGCACAGAACAAACAAAAAATTAATACAGTTTTAATTACATTTTATTTTATATTATAAATGAAACTTGCCTTTCAAATGAATCTCACAGCATTCATCATCAATTACAACTGAGCTAAACTTTTTCCATGAAAACATAAAACTTCAGTGATGACAACCCAGAAATCCAAACGAAAGATTTAGAAAAAAAGCTATTAAGTGAATAATAATCTGAGTGGAGATTATCAAATTTAACTGTGTGAATGCTAATAATTACCTCTGCAAAGAAGATTACATTTTTAGTCCTGTCCATTTATTTATTTGTTTGATTGTCAGCAGGCATATGCAAACCAAGATGGAAACCATTACAATTTGTGTAGACTCAAGAGCTAGTGGCTGATGGCTCTTGGCAGAGGTATGTGCACTAGTAAGAATAACTCGAGCTCAGGAAGGCACAGTCACTGATATGCTTTGCAGTCCACATCCTCACAGTAAAACCTAGCTGTAAAGGACCTATTAAAATGAGTAAATCTGAACCCAACACAAGCAGACATGGGGAGGAGTGGACAAGGTGAAGCAGATTTCTCTCAGGAGTCCTCCTTCTCTTGATACCTGTAACACCAAAAAAAGAGAAGAAAAAAAAAAATCACCAGAGAGAAAAAAAGTTCCACAACATACAGTGTGTTCACATTCAGTGTTTTTGCATTAACTTAAGTAACCTGGGGCCAGTGCCACTGGAAAAGGCAGATATCACAGAAATTGTATAAAAAATATGTTCAAAAATTTTAAAAGTATTTTAACATTTTTAAATAATTATCCTGATCTTATTTACTTAATAAATCATCTTCCTTGATCTCACTAATGCATTTGGTTCAGCGCCACATAGTGTCCTCTGGGCTGCTTTCAATTTCTTCAAAGTACCAGAGCCCATCAGAAATTGATTAAAGCCTACTTCGAAGATCTGCAATTCTGCTTCACAACACCAGATTTTACCACAATATGGCAGTGTCGCGAAGTGGGCATCATGGCTGGCTGTACTATCTCCCCACTAGCGCTCACTATGGCAATGGAGGTGATTATTAGAACTTCAAAATGGCTAGTAGGTGGCGAGCAACAAACGTCGGGGGTCCGATTAACATCAATCAGGGCCTACATGGACGACATAACAACCCTGACCACAACAGCCCTATGCACCAGGTTGCTAGGGCAACTTGAAGATAATATCACATTGGCCAGAATGAGGATAAATCCCTCAAAATCAAGAAGCATCTCAATAAGCAAAGGTAAGAGATCAGACCATAGGCTCTACATAAATGAAGAACCCATTCCAGAAGCGAATGAGAGGAAAAGGCATGAAGATGTCGTATATTGGGGTTGCGATGATGTGAAGATGATGAAGGAATCTCCGATGACACCGTCTTAATTGTATAAAATGTTTATTACAAAAAGTTCAGCATCAATACAAGCAATGCAATCTGCCTATGGAGAGATCCGAAGTCAATGTGAATCTCTCCTGCCTGGAGAGAGATTCGGAGCCAATGTGAATCTCTTCCGCTGCCTGGAGAGAGATTCGGGGCCAATGTGAATCTCTTCTAAGGGGACAACTTCAACTCCTCGTTTATATAGGAGTGTTGTTTGCATAAACCTAAAGAAAACACATCTGGATTTCATCCAGCTCTTCTCATTTGTTCGGTGACAGAAAAAGAGAAGGCACTAGCTCAAATTTAGTGTAGCACTTAGAACTGTAACCTAATGCCCTACCATACGTTCAGGCTTTCTCCAAATTCCTCAAAACCTGTGGACTTCAAACCTAAAGATAAATTTCTTTTATGGGGAGGACTACACATAGCATTTCAGACACCACAAAGACATGGCATTTGAGGCAGAGCAACAAGGCTCAAGGGGAATAGTTTGCCCTGTGGAGGTTGGTTGCAGGACTTTTCCTTGCAACATCCACCATCAGATTGCTTGAAGATCTGGGGATCCATGGAAAGGTCCTGCACCAGATCATAAAAGAAACATCAAACACTGCAGAAAGCTGCAACCAATAGCTCTGGATAAGGAGGAGAGATCCCAAATGGGCCCCAGGATGCAAGGCACATGCACCCAGGTCTGATCAACCTGCTTGTGGGCCTGCCTTAGAAGAGGTGTCTTTTGATAAAAGGCAGAAACACCTGATGACACTTGTTGAGGATTTTTTGTATATCCTCACACATTACTGTATATGCCACTGTATACTGTATTATGTATATATCGTGTATATTACATTATATCTGTACACCATTAAGAGAAGAAGGCCTGGCTAATTCCACAGATACTCTCTTCACTCTCTCAGCAGTACCCAAGGTCAGGTTATAGTTAAAGGACCAACAAACAGTGCATTGTAGTGTCTATGCTTAGGGACTTTCATATCTAATTCAGATGCCCCAGACAGAGAGGCACCTACTTCAACTCTCAACAACTTGAACTCTTATTACACCAGTGGCAAGACGTAAGGCCACAATGTGGTTTAGGAATGCATATTTAGGCTTAACTATCCAATAGGATGCAAACACCTACATGGAACATAGAGACTGACAGCAATTCTAGCCATTCATTGATGTGCTGTTAGAATGGGTGACGCAAGTAGAGAAGGATATTTGGAGATGGTGTGGGAGAAATCTTCAGTCTTGGGGGTGAGAATTGCTCATGTTACTCTGTTAGCATTTGTATATGGTTGCACCTTTTGGTCTCCTTGATGCATCAAGTCTACATTAAAATCTTCTGCATAAGACATCAGCTGCTGCCTGAGTTCTCCTTTCACCAGCTTCCAGAAAACTTCCATAACAACACTAAGGTACATAACTGAAGATACACTGCCTGGCCAAAAAAAAAAGGTCACATACTCTAATATTTCATTGGTCGCCTTTAGCTTTAATTACAGCACGCATTCGCTGTGGCATTGTTTAAAACAGCTTCTGCAATGTCACAAGATTTTGTCCAGTGTTGCATAAATTTTTCACCAAGATCTTGTATTGATGATGGGAGTCGGACCACTGCGCGAAGCCTTCTCCAGCACATCCCAAATATTCTCAATGGGGTTAAGGTGTGGACTCTGAGGTGGCCAATCCATGTGTGAAAATGATGTCTCATGCTCCCTGAACCACTCTTTCACAATTTGAGCTTGATGAATCCTGGGATTGCCATCTTGGAATATGCCCGTGCCATCAGGGAAGAAAAATCCATTGATGGAATAACCTGGTCATTCAGTATATTCAGGTAGTCAGCTGACCTCATTCTTTGGGCACATAATGTTGCCGAACCTAGACCTGACCAACTGCAGCAACCCCAGATTATAGCACTGCCCTCACAGGCTTGTACAATAGGCACTAGGCATGATGGGTGCATCACTTCATCTGTCTAAATCCAGGTGCCGACTTTTTTTTTTGGGCCAGGCAGTGTATGTCCATAACAGCCACTGGTGGTCACTAACATCCGATTACATCAACTGGTGGTAGGCATTAATTAGAGCGACAGGAAATACATTACATATTCTTCATCCTCCATCTTGTCCTATGTTCAAAAAGGGAAAGTGTTCAGTTTAAAAAGGCATACATTTAATGATGTCTGACCTCCTGAGGAGGCCACAATGCTTTCATACTACTGCCATACAAGCCAGTAGCCAGTTAGATTTACCTTTAGCCTCAGTGTATCCTCAAGATCGGCCTGTATAATTAATTACAAGGTCAAAACACTTGATGACGCTACTAAGATCTACTGGTAGTTGGTAACCTAAATTGTGCAGAAGACCTTCAAACATCCCAGGGATATTTCAACATCTCTTCCAATATTCTCAATGATTGCCTAGGGAATTTTTTTGAAATAATTCAATACTGAATAATTATTAAAGTAATACAATGCATCATGGTCAACAGAAGTCATTACCTGGCCAGCAATGCTCCATCATTTAAAGTGGGTCGCAATGGCACAGAAACAAGTCTAGTCCTGCAACCACTGAGCGCCAAGCAACATTTGGTGTAACATAACTGAAGCACCCAGCTTAAGGTAAGTGTTTGGTTTATTATGACCTGCTGCCGAGCAGTTTAATATTACCAATAACCATTAATTAATTTCACTCTGATGCATTTTCTCTAATAATGAATGGTGTTTTGTTGTGTGGTGTGCAAACAGGGCGGTTGGACTTGTTAAAGTATTGTGCATATTTGGACATGTTCTTGCCCGCTGTGCACAGTGGGCTCATAGACCTGTTTAATATGCAAAGGCTTTTTGTATGTTCTGTGTGTGCGGGTGCCCAATGTCTGCGCTCTGTCAAAGACCCAGAGGTTTGAATGATTTAATGTAATATGGTTGTGCTGATAAAATATTGCACGTATGTGGGTGTGTTCTTGTCCGCTGCGTGCAACAGCCTTTTGAACCAGTTTAACTATGTTTTGGCTGGGGTCACCATCTGAAGAAACCGAAAAAATATGTGAAAGTAAATATAAAGATGCCTATAGCTTATTCTTAAACGTAGGCTGAACAAAGCAAAAAGTTTAACTTAATAAAGATTATTTTATCCTAAAAGAGATCAGTGGATGATTTTACCCTCATCCATCAGTGCAGCTCAGAACATGAGTAGACACAAAAATGTCAGATTTTGTTCGAAAAATTATCTCCACATTATATTTCCCATGGTTAGAAACAAACATTATTTACCTCATCACACATCAACCATTTATCTTTCCTCTTTTCTGCTTTGGCAATATAAACAGTCTAACATTACTTTGGCTTCAACACCACCTCATGTGTTACTGTGTGTTGAGGATGTGTTTTAGACTAGACCAATGGATGAGAAGGAAATGAAAAGAGTGAAGCAAGAAAAAATCTCCAGGAAAGACCTGTAAAATACACTGCAAGCCTCACCATCAATGCTGCCTATGTTTCTCTGCCATCTCCCAAAAGATCTCAGCCTTGTATGAAAACCACATGCCCCCTATGCCCAACTCCTGCAACACTAAAGCACATCCTGGTAGGCTGCAAAACCAGTCTCACTCAAGGATGAAACGTCAGACACCCAAGCAAGCAGCACAAGCTGATGCTTTGCAGCACTTCAGGAAAGTCATTGAACTGGTGATGCGTGGAATTGCAGTTATACCCACAGACTCATGGTCCCCAGGTCAGGAGGATAGGGTCATAAAAATGAAAATGTCTGATTAATAGCGGATGGGTTTGGGTGGGTGAAAGAGGCCAATTCGACAAGTCGTCAGAGGAAAATTTGTTTTCTTTTTTTGCATTCCTGCAAAGAGTGCTGCTAGCTAATTCGGCGCAGCCGTGCGCATCATTGAGGCGAGGTGCAGACACCTAAATCCTGGAACAGTGAATGCCACCTTATTTTTGGAAAGTTACTGTGGGTCTCTAAATTGGATAAAGTAATTCCTTTAGGTGGGTAATGGGTTGATGAGTAAAGCATATGTACTAATGAGGGTGACGTTAAGCTGATCCGTGCATCTCTATAGTGAATCTATGTGAATGCTCTTCTTTCCCCATCACACAACACCAGGGTTTCCCGCAGCGCTTTATAGTTAAGGCGGCCGCCTTGACAACAACGGCCCCCCGCCTTGACTACGTCCCCCCCGAAAATAAAGAAAGAAAGAAACATTCCGCATCCCTGCATGCATAGACAACAGACAGGAGCTCCACGCCCCCTCCCCCCTGCTCACCACCTTGACTGACAAATTTTCTGCGGGAAACACTGAACACCATTTGTCTGGTAAAGTGAGGATTAAGCCAAATTGCCAAATCAAAACCAGACAAACTGGCTGCAGTTGCGTCGCAGAATGGCTTGCTTTTCACTGCCGCACACAAGATTAACAGATCAGAGCTGTAACACTGGCTACGATTGAACCACGCTGTTCTTCTAGAGAATTCAAGGTTGCGCTCTGCACATGTTTCTCAGCAAAAGAGACAGAGAAAACTTCACCACAGTTTCAATGCTTATATATGTCACGAACATAAATATTTGCAACCCTTCCTGTAGTCTACGCGTTTCAAAATAAATGCACTCCAGCATTTCTTTTGATTGAATCCATTCATATGTTTTGATTAGGTATTTTTGTGAAATATTTGCTGGAGCAGAAGATGCACAGCTTTATACTGTACTAGTATTTATTTGAGTACCTAGGAATACTCTTATACAAGGAAATACTGTAGGTATATCAGAAACCCCAGAAAGGCTGTACTCATCAAAGGTTAACATAAAAAACTTTAGGCGATTGGATCCCACTTCCCTATACACAATTAATCACGATTGTGGCCAATTTTTGCATTTGTGTGTTTGTGTTGGCATGAGTGAGAGAGAGATAAGGAGAAAGGTCACGTAAATGGAGTCGGGAGGGACAGAATGCATTAATGAGCACTGCTAAGGAAAAAAGAATTTACAACATTAGGAAAAAGGTGAATCATTACTGTTATGGAATTTGTCTCTTGTCCTCTCTGGGGCATAGTGCAACAGACTGTTGTGTTTGGGAAGTGTGAGACCTTGCTGAAGGTCGAAGGCTTCACTCCCTAGATATCACATATGAGACTGTGTAAACAGGCAATACTGTCTCCATAACTAGAAAATACATTTGATTGTTTTACGAACTAGCAGACCCATAGATTAAATTATCTGTTGGGGTTTAAAATGTGACTGCAGGAAAGCAGACTTCAGAATATGAGAGGATCATGCAGATGTTGTGTGGATGAATTCTGATTTTCTCCTTGGCCAAGCTTCAATAAATATTTCAGCATAAGACGTCAAAGGGCCCCTGAATGCTTTCATCACTGATGAGTTGACCATTGATCAGCAGATTTTTCACAACAATTGGTGTCACAAACAGGATCTCAATACAACTAAACAACAGTTGCCATTCACCCATTGACACACACATTCATACAGTGCATCGATTACTAGCAGTTTTTGTTGTTCTATGGGGCAATTTGGGGTTCAGCATCATTATAGTGGTGGATTTCAACATTCATGCAGATGTTGGCAATGAGTCTTAGTTTGGCATTTAATTCACTGAAAGACTCAATTGGTTTTAGTAAACAAACCCACTCACCGTTTTTAATCACACTCTTGTTCTTGTAGAAATCGAAAATGTAATCATTTTCCCCCAAAACCCTCTTCTGTCTGACCATGTTTTATTACATTTAAATTTACAATTATTAACTACACTGATTTTGGACCACAATGCTATCATAGTGAGTGTTTGTCAGATAATACTGTAAACAAATTTAAGGAAATAATTCCCCTGATATTTAATGAACAACCATGTGTCAGTACGATACAGGAAAGTTATCAAAACTTCACACCCCCTCTAGTTGATGGCTTTGTTAATAGTACCACAGTCTTAGAGGGGAGAGAAGAGAGCGTGATAGTGGGGAGGGGGGAGAGAGAGAGAGGTGAGATAGACCTAACTCTGAGGAGCAATGATTTCATGAGCTTCTTTACAAATAAGATTGTAAGCCCATTAATAGCACAAATACATTGTCTAGTACAGAAACAATATAACCACCTGTAACACCACTTTTATTAAATAATAATCGTTTCTGAACTGACTTCAATAGTCTCTTCCTCTAAACCATAGGTTGCCAACCCTTTTGATCTCAGAAACCTTCACTGTCAATCCCATTACGCTCTGGACTCACTGGCTGCGGTTGAGCCGCAGACCAGCTGTGTGTCAGTTGTCTGTTGTTCACACTGACAACGTGTCCACTATTGGCGGCGGAGCTGCTGGTAAGTCTACTGCATTTCCTTTCTTATACATTACATCATTATACATTCCTTTCTTATATATTTCCTTTCTTTTAAATTTCCTTTCTTATACATTTCCTTTTATACATTTGGACAGTTGGAGATGTGCATCTGCTGTCTGTAGACAACAATCAAAAACACCGTTAGAACCAATGAATGGATTCAGAAAGTGAAAAGCTTGAGTGCTTTTACATTGAAACAGTGTTTGAAATATGTTTGTGACACGGAAAGATAAACATAGCGTTTCACAGCAGCATTAACTGAGAAAATTATCTTTCACCTGAGATTTAATGTTTATCTGTTGAATTTATGTCACAAACATAAATGGTTGCAACGTTTCCTGTATGCCTGTTCATTTGTGTAAAAAAGGGGTTTTATTGTGAAATATTTACAGGAGCAGAAGATGCACGGCTTCATATTGTATAGTACTTGTATTTATTTGAGTACACTACTAAGGAAATAGTCATATTTACGGCCATTTTCAAGGCAAAGCCTGTGTAAAAGCATTGTGCTGCAGTACCAGCTCATCTGCAGAACATATAGTTGAACTGAGAGGCTAAATATTGCGTATTGAACAGATCCTGTATATATGAAATAAATTTTGCATTGAAAAGATAAAGCCTTTAACATTAATTAAAAATAATAAATATGACCAATATGTTTGGAAGTTATGGAAGATATCAGGTTGGTAGATCTCAGCTTACATTTCTAATTAAAAAGTGATCTTGAAAAGGTTGGTGACCAATGCTCTATACCATCAACTTGTCCTATCCCAACTAGACTTTTAAGAAATGTTATCCTCTAATTGACAGTTCCATATTAAATCAGATTAATATGTCTTTGTTAACTGGGTCTGTACCGCAGGCTTTTAAGGTAGCAGTAATTAAACCTCTGCTTAAAAAGCCTGATCTTGGCCCAGATGTTTTCGCTCATTATAGTCCTACATCAAACTTTCCCTTCATTTTCTAAATCTGTGAGTAACCAGCTACTAGATTACTTAGATATAAATTGTTTGTTGGAAGACAGCACAGAAACCGCACTGTTAAAAGTTACTAATGACCTTTTGGCATCAGATGATGGACCTGTCTCTATACTCCTCCTGTTGGATCTTAGTGCCGTATTTGACATCAAAGATCATGGAATTCTGTCACAGAGACTGGAACAGCATGTAGGGATTAAATGAACAGCAATAGGCTGGTTTAATTCATATTTATCAGATAAATTCCACTTTGAAACAATGACTCCTCCATGCACAAAAAGGTTAGTCCGCAAGGTTCTGTCGTCCAATACTTTTATGCTTCCTTTAGGCACAGTAATCAGAAAGCATCATATACACTTCCATTTTTACACAAATGACACCCAGCTGTACATATCTATGAAGCTTGGTGAATTGAATTATTTAGTCACACTTCAGGATTGTCTCAAGAACTGGACGACCCATAACTTATTGCTTTTAACTTCTCACTTGGCCCAAACACCTCAGAGAAACATTGTCTGATCAGATAGTCACCTTGGATGGTATTAGTTTGCCCCCCTCCTCCACTGTGAGGAACCATGTCATAATATTGCACATATAAAATAAGTCTGTAGGACAGCTTTCTTTCACCTGTGCAATATTAAGACAATTAAAAATCCAGTCTCATGAGGATGCTAAGAAACTAATCCATGCAATTGTTACCTATAGACTGGATTATTTTTAATTATCAGGATGTCCCAGTAAGTCTTTGAAAAGACTCCAGTTCATCCGAAATGCTGCAGCACAAGGAAGAAGAGGTCATATTACTCCTGTCTTAGCTACTTTGGCTCCCTGTAAAATTTAGAAGACTGCGGGGGGGAACTCCCATGATGCACTGAGCATTTATATCTCTCCCTCTCTCTGTCTCTCAGTTTTTTTCTCTACATACTAGCAAAAGTGCTTGCTCATTGTGGGAACTGTTGTGTTTCTACCTTTTATGTGAAGTGCCTTGAGAGAATGAATATTATGATTTGGCACTATACAAATAAAATTGAATTGAACTGAATGACTGTCAGCACCTCTGCACTTCAGATAACTGATTCTGGTCTGACACAGCTCTCTGGAGCTGACTGTTAACTGCTCACAAAATACACATAATTTTTACCTGCAGTGTATACAGGAAAAGAAGACAGTTTGTCCTTCATCTGCAGATCTCATCTGCCTGGTGTGGTAAACCATTCCCTCTTTATTGCAATGAGAGCACCGTCTGTCAATCTACAAGGAAAAGAAGCCCTCATTGATACTGTGAACAGTTGAGATCATCACACACAACAGGCAGTGAGCAGCAGTCTGTCTGTTCTTACCACAGGTCCCTTCAGCTCAGCTTCCTCATCTTCATTCAGAGCCACTGATGACTGCTCCACAAGGTTAAAGGTGACTGTAGACTGGATCTCTAGACCTGAAAACTCTGGACAATAAAAACGTAGGTAAGAATAATCTGTGGCCATCTGTGTCATTATCAAAACTCATGTATAATATGACATAAGATAAAATGTGTGTTTGCATATGGAAATCATTCTCAGATCAAAGTGCAAATATTTGATTTGATTGATTGATCAAAGTGGAAAATTAGGTGTGTGGATTATTTAGTGCAATAGGACTTTTTTCTGGATAGACACTTTACAGTGTCAGACAAATATTCCTTCTTTAAATGGTCTGATAGCAATAACAAGGAAGCCAGCACCTTAACTTGAGAAAGGTAACTGGAATTGAAAGCCATTTTTAGACTTGGCAAATGATCTGAAATCTGTTCTTTAACAGGTTTCATCAGGCAACCCCCCTCATCTGCTCTGCCAGTACACTACCCCACCTCCTCTTCCAAACCCCTTTCCACAGAACTCAGCTCTCAGTCACACATCACCACAAGCTGCAACAACAGAACAAAGCAAGATACTTAAATGTTGACTCTTAAGAATATGCCAGTCTAAATGTGTACAATGGAAGCATTTTCTACCTGAGAGTGTTGTTTGAACAACAGATGAAGAGACAAATAGTTGTACCTGCTACGGGAATGAAGAAGGAGCAGCGAAGGCAATAAACGGTGTCCTGTATTCCTGGAAGAGGAAGAACATTCCCACATTCTTGGCAGAAGTTGGGATCACCACCTAAACACGACATCTCCTTATGAAACAAAAAGAGCACTGCCCTTTGGGGGAAAGACAAAGTGTTCAATATTAAACAGCACAACGTTAAACACTAAAAGACTGGCTGGCTGGCACAGTCATACTTTAGTTTATAGCATGTGCTCTATCTAAATAATTAAAAAAAAACAAAACATAATAACAACGGAAAATGGGACAGGTCTGCACAAAGTTTAAGGGAGTAAATCACTTAAGCACGTGATAACTTGACTAAGTTACCTACCGTTATATTCAGTGTGACAATATCGGGAAACATTTGTTTTCAGACAAGATTTAAGTTACGCACCTGCTTAATATGTAAAATCGTATACCAATAAATGCTTAGCAGTATCCACAAAACCTCCCTTCTGTCTGTAACTGTAACCGAAGTTGAGAGTATGCGGTTACATAGAGCAGGGTCCTTCTAGTATTCTCCGTCGCTTTGTGAAACGTCATTTGAGTGCGTAACCCTCTTTTTTGGTCTTTCTTTCTTCTTCTTCTTCTTTTTCGTCTTCTTCTTCTTCTTCGTTTATTGGCGGTTGGCAAACCAGCTGCACCAGGTGCATTACCGCCACCTATGAATTGGAGTGTTGAGCAGTAGATTGGCAACAAAACAAAACTTAAATTAAATAATTTTTTTAAGTCCTGTTTCTCTTAAATAGTTAAGTATAATATGATATATATTCTTTGATGTATTTCTTAACAGATTTAATTTATTTTATTTCACAGAGTTTAGTTTCTCTCCTTGCTCCTCTCACCAGTGCCCACAATTTGACAGATTACAAATGTATTTTTTGCTAATATATCTGCCTTTTCATTGCCTTCCACTCCCACGTGAGCTGGACCCATAGGAAGGAGTTATGTTTAACTCTCTCTGATGAAGTGGAGTACATGAAAAATGTCATTATTATTCAGAGAAATTGTCAAGTTTAGGATATAACCAGTAATGCAGATCCTCCCAAAAGGCACTGGAGAAAATACATTCATGGATTTAATTTAAATAGGTAATTCAAAGTTATTCTTAATTTATTATGATTATAATTTGTTATGCCCTGTTACACAGGCTGATAACAATATCATACTTTGATTGTTTATGTTAAAATTGAACCTTACAAGGCATAATGTTTCCCGTTTAGAGCAGCAGAGAGGAGATTGGACAACCTTGTTTGATTCCTTCATGAATTTAGAATCTTGGAGATGCTCTTTGTGGCAACATGACTGTGCTATGAGTATCCTTGTAGAATAGTTTAACTAAATCTGTATAGTTATCTCCTAGACCAATAATTTCTAAAGTGCAGAACATAAACTTTGAAATCTTGCCAAAAGCTTAAGAAATATCAAACACTTAAAGGAGGTCAAGTAAAACTTGTATATTGCTCTGAATTGATCTACCTTTTCCACTTAATCCACACTAAAGTAAGCATCAAATGTGCCTTTGAAATTCATGTATACCTTGCTCAAAGAAAGCATCAGCATCTTGGCTTGAGTAAGAGAAGGAATAAAGATTACTATAGAATTGGAAAATTGTTTGTTAGGGTGTGTACTGTGGTGGCAATTTTGCCCACCAATCAAACATGCACAGAGGATGCAATCTTCTCTGCCCTCCACCCAGCCCTCACCCATCTGGAAAAAAAAGACTAATACGTGAGAATGCTGTTCATAGACTTCAGCATTCAACACCATAATCCCACAACAACTCATGTGCAAACCTGACAAAGTGGGGCTCAGCACCTCCCTCTGCAACTGGCCGCTGAACCTGCTCAGTCAGGGGCCACAAGCAGTACGTGTTGGCATCACACTGAGCACAGGGGCCCCCCAAGGCTGTGTGCTCAGCCCCCTGCTCTTCACCCTGCTGACACACGACTGCACAACATCCTACAGCACCAACCACATAGTGAAGTTTGTGTACGACACAACTCTGGTGGGTCTCATCTACAAGGTCGACGAGACTCACTACAGGAAGGAGGTCAACCTTCTGACCACGTGGTGCAGAAACAACAATCTCCTTCTGGATGTCAGCAAGACCAAGGAGATTGTTGTCAACTTCCAGAGAGGCCACACCCAACACCCGCCACTGACCATCTATGGTGCTTCTGTGGAGAGAGTGAGCAGCACCAAATTCCTGTGGGTGCACATCAGTGAGGACCTCTCCTGGACCACCAACACCGCATCACTGGCGAAGAAAGCCCAGCGGCGCCTCTACTTCCTGCGCAAACTGAAGCGAGCAAGTGCACCACAACCCATCATGTGCACATTCTACCGAGGCACCATTGAGAGCATCCTTTCCAGTTGCATCACTGTGTGGGGTGCGGAAGCTGCACTGATTACAACAAGAACCCTTTCTACCCCCAGCTCCATCCACCAGGCTGTCAGGAAGCTAACCCCCCCCCCCCCACACTCTGGACTCTGAACCCTCTGACCCACATACTGACTGTCTTTGCACTACTATGCCATTTGCACACTGATATCAAACAGAAAAACTTATGCTTTCTTCTTCTGATCTCAGAGGGGATCTCTGGCCTTCCGTGGGGAGTAGCCTGGGTATGCTGAGCACCAACAGCTGGTCGTGGGTGAAAACAATGGAGCCCCGGCTGAACGGGTCGCCCGATGCCGTATTTAAGAGTCCGGTTATTATTTAAAATAATAATAACCGGACTCTACTGAGGTAAGGCTTAAAATAAAGCAAAAAATTTGCTCAATAAGACAAAAACACACAGGGGAGGTTAGAGCCACTGTAACAGGCTGCCGCTCTTGCGGCACCATCTTAGTGATGAAAATGATGCGACTGATCAGCTCTGTGCCATACTGGTAGTCCTCCCAAGCCAAGCTTAAAGCACGGGCCGACGCCTACAACTCAAGTGATTTGGAGCAGTACAGGAAGTCCAGGTCCGCACTCCGGGGTGTGCTATTAGCAGTACCAGGAGACAGGAACAAAGTGGGGTCTCACTACCAGGGCTGCAACACTATGAACAAGTGAGCTGGACTAAAAACCATTACAGACTGCAAAAGGAAGACCAGCAGTGCTGAGGTGATGTCTGCATCTCTCCTAGATGAACTAAACACCTTCTGTGCTTGCTTTGAGAGCAACTCCCTGGCTGTGGAGGTACAAGAGGCCATGCCGGACTGCTGCCCACCTGTTATATTCAGGGCAGATGTGTGGAGTTCACTTAAACAGAGCACCTGGACCTGATGACATTCATGGTTGGGCTCTCAAGGTGTGTGCGGATCAGCTGGCAGATGTGTTTGTTATGGAAGTTTTCTGGAAGCTGGTGAAGGGAAAACTCAGGCAGCAGCTGATGTCTTATGCAGAAGATTTGAATGTAGACTTGATGCAGCAAGGAGACCAGAAGGTGATACAATATCAAGCAATCTAATTTTATTTGTATAGCCCCATATTCACAAATCACAATTTGTCTCATGGCTTTAACAAGGTGTGACATCCTCTGGCCTTAACCCTCAAAAAGAGAAAGGAAAAACAGTTTGAAGCATGATGGGAGATAAATGAATATAGGAATATTGTCAGTAATGGTAGAGTATCTGAGGAGAAATATTGTATATCAAGCAGTCTTGTCATAGTCCACGATCAGCGGCCACCATGATCAGGATACACCATCATAATCCATCGTCGTGATCTGCGATTGCTATCATGATCAGCCAGCACGATATCATCATAATCCATGAATGCTGGATCTGCGAACGATAAGGCAAAGGTACTCCTGGGAAGAAGTCAAGTCAGTAACATGCATTGATGAGAGATCAATTTCTTTTATGTGATAAGGAGGGAGAAGAGAAAAGAGAAGTGCCATGTGTCATGTGTCGACATTCTAGACCTATAGCATAATTAAGAGCAGGTCGAAGACAAACCTTAACCAGCTCTAACTAAAAGCTATAGCTCATAAAGGAAGGTTTTAATCCTACTCTTAAACGTAGAGGGTGTCTGCCTCATGAACTGAAAGTGGGAGATGATTTCACAGGAAAGGAGCTTGATAGCTGAAAGCTCGGGCTCCTACTCTACTTTTAGAGTCTTTAGGGACAACAAGTAAGCCTGAATTCTATTCCCACCAGTGTAGTGAAGCTAATACATGAGAAATGCGATTTATTTTCAGGATTCTTGTCAGAACACGTGCTGAAGCATTTTGGACAAGCTGCTTTAAAGACTGAGCCTGATAATAATGAAGTGTGCAGTGTGCACGTGTAGCGGGTCCCGGCTTGGTCCCTGCTGACAGATATATAGATATCCTCTGGAAATATAAGACAGAAATCAGAGAAGCAGGAGCCCTGTTGCTCATTCTCCATTCATCTGGATTATGTTTTATTCTCACATTCATTTTAACTTTTTCACTGCAACCATGAATTATTTCTGTTATTTTGCCTGAATTACAGCACTAGGATTAACCATTTTTCGATAACATTCACATTAAATGTCTATTTTTACATATTTTCAAGAAATAAACTTATCAAAATTTGTATTTAACCAAAGATAAACATGTTCCCTTTTAATCATGTCATCTGTCTATCATCAGTCATGTATGTACTTCGCCCTTTCACACATCTTTATTCTCTCATTGAAAGAGTACTCTCTTTATATAACTGTACATAAAGTACGTTAAGTACATTAAGTGCTCACTTAAATCAACAGAATAAATCTCCTTTGCAGTTAAATTTTTTTACATTTACACCATAGGAAAACAAACTGCACATTTGCATTAGCTTCAACATTTAAAGCAATGCACTACACACACACAACTGATTTTCACACATACAGTAATAACCCACAAATGCCTAGGAGCCCGAAAGAAACCAATAAAAGTAAACAATTGGCTACGGCATCGGATGCCATTTTCTACACTACAATCATCACGTACCGTGACACTTTACTTTATTTACACACACTTAACAAGCTTTTAGCTTCTGGACCACACATCAGCAGGGATTCATATTAGCTTATAAACATCTGAAGTCACAGAAAAGGTGAGTAGCTGACCTGGAAATATAAGACAGAAATCAGAGAAGTAAGACAACTGTTGCTCATTCTTTCACGATGCATTGCAAAGAGTCCCAGTGGCGCTAACGCTAAGTGCTGCCACCCAGTGTCCTTTTCACGCAACAGCATGTCATTGTGTGTTTCTCTGTGTGACATCTTATTCTGAATTAAACAGACTATAATAAAAATAATACAATAGCAATTAATTAAAAAGTGACTCTCAGAGGAAATAAAACATTAATAATATGGCAACAAAAACACTTATTTTGTGGGTATCACACACGACAGTGGCCCGTGTCATCAGAGAATGACTCAGGGCAGTACTTAAAGTCAGCAGTGTATGTGGTGAATTCAATTCAATTCTATTTGTATAGCGCCAAATCATAACATACATTATCTCAAGGTACTTTACATAGAATGTCAGGACCTTAAAATCAAAATATAGAGAAACTCAACAGTTCCCACAACGAGCAAGCACTTTGGCGACTGTGGAGATAAAAATTCCCTTATTAACAGGGAGAAACC